CCTTGGGAATTGAAGCCACATACAGCTGAACAAGATAAAGAAGTGATGATGCCTGACATAGCCACTATACCACCTCTGCTGTCTACATCGGAAGTTCTTTGACATAAAAGAGAATCAGACTTCTAGGTTTTTAAGTCACTGTTAATTTTTTATTTTCTACTGTATGCAGCCAAACCTACAACAAGCCAATGGGTGGCATATATCCAAGAGCAAAAATATTTCTTTGATATCTATAGCAAAAAGCTATATTCATATTTGAAGGAGATCAAATTTCATCTTTAAAAGTAAAGTTTTTGTGCTTACTCATAATGAATTTTTTTCTGATTATGAGAGTAATACACTTCTATTTTGGAAAACTTAAAAATACAGAAAAGCAGTGAGAAGAAATGTAGTTATCATTGATTCTATCAGTCAGAACAAATGCTGAACATTTTGGATTTTCTACAAATCTGTAAAATTAACATAGAAACTATCAAATCTTAGAGTTGAAAGGGACTTTAGGAGACATACCATCCAGCATTATACCAAAGCCAGAATCCCTTCAATAGCACTGTCCTTGATGCCTGCCCAGCTTGAATAATAATAATCCCTATGATGAAGAGCTCAGAGCTTCACGAAATAGTTTAGTTCGTAGCTGGAGTCACTCTGAGTTCTATCTTATATTAATGACTATTGGCTACCCTGACATTTGAAGCAACCCAATTTATTGTCTTTCAAATATCGTGTTCCATTAAACATTTGAGGATAATCACAAAGGCTTTACTTTCCAGAGTCAGTCACAAACTATGTGCCAAGCATTGTGGCAGGAATGAAGATATAGGTCATGACTTAAAATCACCCATGTAACACAGAGAGTAAAGACAAGCTAGGTAAGGGCAGCAGTAGATATGTTCAAAAGACTCTTTTTAAATGACAGAATCCAGTGACCAAGAAATATGGTGAATCAAGAAGCCAGGAAACAGGGTAGGTTTTGATATCTTCACTGAACAGGGACTACTACAATAACAGCAGAAGTGCATTTGCAAATTAGTGGGTAGTGGTGGGGAATCAGGAGGAAAGAGTACAAAGAAACAAAAAAAATTGAAAATAAGTTTTGAGGTTCCTATGGGATATTCAAATAGGCATATACAATAAAGAGTCAAAAATATATGTCTGGAGTATAGAGGGACAGTAACTCCTATATTGTCCTCTTAATCCAGCTGTTAGAGACAGTGGAGGGATAAAGGTTCTGGGCTTTTGAATAGTATTATGAGCAAAGAATCGAAAAAAATGTATACCCTCTTCTAGACACTGCCATCTTCCCTTGAGAGGTTCATAGAAGGGACACAAAGCCAAAAAAAATAGTAGAAATAGGAAATTAAATAAATCCTTATCACTTTCTGGTCTTAGACCTCCAACCTCTGCCTCCCCCTCCAATACTCTGATGTTTAGGCTGGACCATGTAGCCATGTGGCACATAACTTTTCCCTAGGTTACTTAGCCTAAATGCCTTCAGCCCAAAGCAGGTTGTCACTGAGATCTCCTAATGCCTCACCTGCCCCCAAGTTGTAGATCTTACCATACTCCAGCCCCATGTAAGGGAAAAAAGAAAAGTGTACTGTTGGTTAGATATGCTCCAAGACAGTATGCCCTGAGTCAGCTTATCATTTCTGCTATGCAGATGGCAGAGAATGAAGAGAGGAAGAGAATCTCTCTTGTGGAGTAGGCCCTGTTCCTTCGCACTTCAGCCGTGTTTCACGGAGAGCAGCAAGACAGTCAAACCCTAGCACTGACCTGTTAACACAGTGACCATGCCCGCTGGCAAACATGGTATCATCAGGTCCCAGAATCTGATAAATCCAAAACAATACTCCTGCCAGAGGTAAACTGGGAGGAGATGTAGATGGGAGGTGTAGATGAAAGGAGGAGGGAAAACAGGATATTCTTCTTTCACTAACTTATACAGCCAAAGGAATCAAAGCTCATCAACAGCTTTCTAGACTTATTGGCTTGTATTAAAATGGAGACCAATTAAGTCCCACAGGTCATTTTTATAAGTATTTCTGAGATCCCCTCCATTTTATGCTCATGTGATTAAATTATGAACCCTTAATGAAAAATTTGTATTTATCTGTTAGTTTTAACCTTGTTGCTTTTGTTTCTTAGTGCCAGCCTATGACAATTATCTTTGAATCTTCATTTCATCATCTAACATATTACGTACCACTCCCAACCTAACTCTCTCTCTTAGCTTTGGTTCATTTCTAAATTTGCTTCATGTGTCTCTTGGGTCTGCATTCAAATAGCTGATAAAAGTGAAAAAAGAAAAGGGCAAGGTTAGAGGTCTGGAACCCACAACCAAACCTTGTTCCAAGTTGACACAGATCTAATTTATTTTAAATGTTCAAGGTACCTTGAAATTCCCCAAATGAAGATCTATTTGGCCTTTACTTTTCTGTGTTGCCAACAAAGACAACATGACTACCAAACAGTGGTTTAAATCATGCTATTCTACTGGCCATTCCATTGTTCTGTCAATCTTGGGATTCTATTTTTAAAAAACAAATGAAAATAGTTTACTTTTTATTTTTATATAAGTACAATACCAAAGATATATATATATATTTTTAAATGATCATTGCAGTCATTGTCTCCAAAAACTCAATTTACCACGTGTATATGTGACAGATTTTATCCCTAATCTTCTTGTATCAGGCTTGGACCAAAGAAACTTTATAACTAGTAGCACTATTTTCTTATGTACACTTGCCACACAGAAGCTTTTTTTAAAAAGAAAGAGCAATTAGCAAAATGATCAGTTAGTTCATGTGTTTGCATTTTGTGAATATTTGCATTTCATAACTAATTTGGTGCCCTATAACTGTTGAAATTAACTAGATCCAACAGATACTTTTTCTTACTAATACTCTGAGTGATGTGCCCTTATTAGATCTGAGATTTAATTATTGAACAGATAAATAAATAGAATTTACAATCCACTGGAAAATTGTTTTTCCATGCAGCAGATATTAAGTACAATTGTCTTTAGTACAACATATACATAGAGGTAAATATATAGAAACATAGATATCAAGATATATAACTTCCTACCAAAAAATGTAAACATATTTCTTAGATCACTTTGAGGGGGCTAATCATTTTTTATGAAATCTATAGTATTTCTGCAAGTATCTTTAGATGAGTTTTTAGAACAAGAAGCGTTAGCTGCATTGTGCTTACAACTATGCTTACTGGTTTCCTGTGAGCTTGGGAGGGTCCTGGTGCCTCAATCTCTGATCTTGAATTTCAGGGATTAGTTCTAATTTATTTCCTGGGATACAACATTACAGTATAAGTCATAGAAAATCTTAGAACCTGACTCGTCAAAGATGCATTCATTTTCCAGTCAAACTAGTACCACTGCCACCGTCTCACCTCACCTCTTATGCTTGTCCCTCCAGTCTCTGCTAAAGTATTCATTCCTGGGATCATCCAGGAGTCCTCTTATTCAGGCCTCCATTTCCCTCATTTCATGTCCACACACACCTGGATAAGGACTTGGCATTCTCAGCAACAGCAGCAGGGCAGAGATGCCACGAAACCCAATCTCTGGTTGCCTACCTATGACCTAACTTCTCACACATCATGGGCAATAGGAGAACTGCCAATCAGCACACTGAGGATCGAAGTTAAGGAAACAAAAGTGGCTCCTTGAATTGCATTGTGAATTTTGCTCAAAAGAAAATGGTAGTTGGCGTCTACCTGCTCACTTGTTCTTTCCACAAATGTCTTTGAGCACCTTTGGTATTCTCTTAGCACTGGAGATCCAAAATTGAAGTGAATGTACCTCTGCATATCTGAAGCTTACATTCTAGTGGACTTATAAAAACAACAACCCTGTATCCCATTTACCCCACTCAGACTTGGATTCTGAACCACATAGGAGTTGGGGGTGAGGTGGAATGGGGGCTAGGAGTACAGAGGAGCCATGGAGGTAAAATGAACTAAAGAAAATCCAGATGTACGTAGCACAAGTGAGAGAGAGAGAATAGGACCCACTCTCTCAGTTTTCCCCTTTTCTCTTTCTTCCTCCTTGACTCCCAGTTAAAGACATCTCCATGAAAAATCTTAGAGTGAAAACAGTGAAGGATTTCCACTCCCTGCATACTATAGATACAGCAGCCAGTACTGTATTAATGATTACTATGTCACATCAAACTTCTAGAGAGGACACAATTCCCTATTCTTCATCCACAAAGTATCTTTGAAACATAGAGTGGAGTGCACTTAGACTCATTGGACAAACCCATTCTCAGCAAAGCATTTTATCATCTGTTCAAGTAAGACTGTGCGGCTTAAACCTTAAAACCAATTTGAAACTTCCTTTTGCTCTAGCAACTCATCAATGCCCAAAGACTTGAAACAAAGGGCAAGATGAATGGCATCTGAGGGAAAGTTGTTAGTGGACAAGATGGAAAAAAGCTCATGGTAGTTCTCTCTCTAGAAATAATTAGGTGTATGACCTTGAAAAGCCACTTATCTTCCTGATCCTCAGTTTCCTCATCTATAAAGTGGAGTTATGACCATGTTTCCTCTGAAAACCAAACTGTCTACCCCACACTCAACCTGGACACCGAAAACCCAACACACACCTTCCTGGCTACACTAACATGACTTCCCTATTCCACTGTGTTCATTAGTGTTACTTTACTTTTCTAGGACTGCCCTGCCCAAGCAAATGGTTTGATTGTTTATTATGGGACCTTACCCACAGACCATCAACTCATCAATGGAAAACATCAAGCAGACCATTTGCACCCTGATATTCTTTGAATCCCTCTTCTCAAAATCTTCATCTTGTTTTCACCAAACCTGGACATATGTATATTGTCACCCAAACCTAATCAAATCCCCCTGCATTGAAAGACTTGCCTTAAACCAAACTTCCAATTCTCTATAAACTCTGCCCTTCCCTTCACACCTTTGAGACAGCCAAAGCAAGAAGCTCAGCTTTGTCTTACCATGTGTTGGTGATAGTTGCGGAGCCAGCTTTCTGACACCTCCCAGAATCGTTGTGATCATATATGTGAAAATTATTTGAATGCTATGAATGGCAATGAAGCTATGCATTGGCAGAATGACCACACATTCTGCCCTGCGTGATATCCTTGCAGAGGGCAATAAATAATACCCTGCTAAACTGGAAGCTGCCAGCATGCCAGGAGGGGATGTAAACACCCAGGTGAATAACAACTCCCTGAAAGTACTGCAAGATACCTGGGACTCCTGTACCTACCATTGGAAGTAAGGAGACACTTTTCCACCTTTACCTGTCATTGGACTCTTCTAATTCACCTACATAGGCAAGAAAGCTGCCATTGTGCAGTTGTCAAACCAAAGATGATCTTTTAATCTAGGATATAACTGGACAATGGGTATGGAGATGGGTGGGTGGTTACCACAAGACACTTCACTTGAGCTGCCAGGTGTAGGACAGGCTTTTCAGCCTGCGTTCTCAAAGAACACCACCTTAATTTGCATTAAGCTTTACACATGTTCAAACTGTTTGGTTTGGTTTATATGGTTTATATATTTTTCAGCTCCTTCTAGCCACTCAAATGTTATTAATTCATCACTATACATCTCTTCTCTATACCTTTTGTAGTGAGTCCATCTGCCCATCTGTTTTATGTATGTGTATGAAATCTAAATTCATATCATAGCAGTTTACTTATCCCAAATATATAAACATAACATCCCCGACTCTGATTCTGAAGAATGTGACCAAAAAAGGGAAGTGGCAGAACAAACTTCAGAGTAGCCAAAGGAGGCTAATTATTAACCAGGAAACCCACAGTGTTTCACGTTATCAAATTAAGCACTTAGCCCAGTGCCTGACATGAGGAGCACCTTCAATAAATGGTGTGTTATCAGAGCATGATGTCTGCCTTAGCACAAATGTGTTCCCATGATATATTTAGCAGTGTCTGGCACAAAAGTGGTACGTAATAATAGGTACTGATTGATGGACAGACAATTCACAAAAGAAGACAAATGTATGAAAAATATTCAGTGTCACTAGGTAACCACCAAAATTCATATTTAAATGAGATATTATTTGTCTATTACATAAGCACAGTTAAAAAAAGTTAATACATAGTGTTCTCAAGGGTGGAGCCAGACGACCAATGTTATGCAATGTTAGTGTGGGTGCAAATCCATACAGCCAGTCTAGAAAGGCATTCAGCTCAAGCCTTTAAAATGTTTATGCCCTTTATTCCACTGCTAGGAATTTATCCCAAGGAAATAATTTTGAAGTGGGTAAACATGGCAACATTATAAAGAGCAAAAATATTGGGAACAGACTCCATTTCCAACAACCGAGCAGTGATTCAATACTAGCTAACATATATTTCACATTTATTATCTACAGAAACTATGTCAGGGCTTTGCAGATATTATCTCATTTAATCCTTACAGAAACTATATGAAGTGGCTTATATTATCCCCACTTCATAAATGGTGAAACTGGGATCCATTTCCCATTCATACCACTGGAAACTGAAGGAATCGGGACCAGAATCGGGTGGGATCTCTTCAACTCCATTTCACTTACACATCTCTACACTATAAAATAGTATGCATCCAATTTAAATTTTAATGAGAAGGTAAAAACTTAATTTTGTGTGAAGATAGGATAGAAAAGTGTACATATTTAATATTAAATTTATAATACACACACACTGAAAGAAGTTTTAATATTAAAATATTAAAATATTAAATATTAAAAGTGGCTATTTCTGAAGGTATGTTCTATCGGGGAACTGTTATTTTCTACTGATTTAGATGTATTTCCTACTTTTCTACTATGATTAATAAATCACTCTCATAAAAAGAAAAGCAAAAGTGTTGGTAAGAAACACAAATTGTGAAGGGCATCCATGTCCCAGATATACACGGACTCTAGAGTCTGACTGTGTAAGAGTACCACCACATGTGCCTGGCTGGGGCCCAAAGGAATGTATGTTTGTTTGTTTCTGTATCTTCCTCTATGAGCTCAGCATCCTGTGGATGGATGGAGGGAGACTTTCCATATAACCCTGCTTTGCTGCATGGGTTTGCAGGAGGCAGCCAGATGCCTCATCTCCATTCCTTCAAATTAGCAGGTGTCACACACCTTCTGGTGCTTGTGAAGATGCTCAACTCTCTGCACTCGTCACGTGTCAGGGATCCACACGGTGACCTTACAAACAGGGCCAAATTAAGCAGATCATAACTCTTAGTCTGAATCATTGCAGACAGGCCACATGGAAGACACCTGAAAATACAGGGCCTTTGAAACCTACACCCAGAATACAGCCTGAGCTAAAGAAATGGGGACACATGGCAGAAACCAAGTCTGCACTAAATACACGCAGATCATTTTTATGGTTGTTATTTCTTTGCTTGCTTGAGAGATTTGACCAGAACATGCCAGCAAAGGATAATTGTTAGGTAGAGGTTTGTGGTCTTGTTGTTATCACATTGTTGGGGAAGCTTCTCCACTTGAGTCATAAAAATAAGGCATTCATTAAGCCGTGGCAGAAAAAACGTTGTCAACTAGTAGGAGACTGAGCAACATAAACTATGAGGATTAAACTGCGTTGTTTTTTTTTGCCATCGTGTTTTTCTGTGACTCGATCTCAGAGTCACATTGAGCTCTGTGCCCAAAGTATTCGTTCTTATTTACACATGGTTTCTATACACATGGTAGAGCCATCAATTAAAGGCCTGTGACTCTGGCCTTATCAATTCACTACTCTTCCAGCTGCTACTTGGCTATAAATTATCTCCCTCCTCATCCTGTCCCTAGTCCATGAATTGGAGTTACTTTTAACCTCTATTGCTGCTCCTGTTCAGCTTTATTGAACTTATTTTGATGCAAACATAATTAACTACTTGTTCCCTACATATTCATGAGATATTCAAGTTGGGCACAAACCTGCTTAGAGAAATTATATGAAGAGAAAGAAGATGTAGAAAAGCACAATCAACTTGCAGTACTATAACAACATCCACATGAGACAACAAAAAAGATAGGAGCTATTAAAGTTCCTAGGTTCTCATACAAATTGGAAAGTAGTATGTTTTCTAGAGAAGAAACTGTACCAGGTTTGTTTGTCCCAGAGTTGGATCAAAATATTTTTGAGGTCATATGATCCGGTGTCCTACTTATAGGACAAGAAATGTAAACCATTCAGGTGAGATCATTGCTAATTCTCCTCTTAAAATTTTCTGGAATGATAACAACATGCTCCTAGTTCAGAAACCCAATCTTAGGTTCTCTGGCCCCAGGTGACAAACAAATCCTTAGACTTGATGAAATTACCCTCTGCGTTATCAAAGTCTCTTCCTTCTTGTCCTTCCATAAGCATGGAGTGGAACTTTTTTTGGACTCCTCTCCGCCACTTCCTGATGGCTTTATATTGAGGCGGTCATCGAGTTGGGAAAGCATGGCCAGGAAGACAGATGGGGAGTAAGGAAGTCCATATGAAAGGTCTCCTCCCTACCGGGTAGACAACTGCCCCTATTCTGATGAATTAATTCTGAACCCTTGGAGTAGCACTCTTCTAGAAAAGTAACTTCCAAGAAAACCTAGGTGAGAAGTTTCTGGTGTGATTGTCAAAATACTGTTTGGGAAGCAAGCAGGGGAACCAGGGTCGAAGTCACAATATTAAGAGTTCTTACTGCTAGTTACTGATGCTAAGAGTTTCTAATTTTCTTACTCCCTCGTCATCCCTTGTCTGTGCAGGTTTGTGCATGCCCGTGCTTGGAAGAGACAAGACATGAAGATATGGCCTAGCTGGCCCTCTGCATGGATTTCCCCACATAAAGGATGTCTTTTTTTTTTTTCACTAGAGTTGCACAAGGCTGAAATAGGAATATTAGCAATATATTTCAGAAAACATGGGTCCATTAAGCAACTTTGGGATGATTTATGAGTTTCACCACCTCTAAGAGCCTGGCTTTTGTAGGGCACACGACAAGGTGGGGTCTGCCTACCATGAAAGGAAGTACAAAATATCAATAAAGCAGGATATAGTTTCCTGAGACACCCTAGAGCTAGAAAACAATTTGGTTGTTAAAGCTCTGAGTCCCAAATTCAAGTTGCACCTGAGTGAACAAACTAGCAGAGAAACAAAAATAAATACAGTATGGATGGGGAGAGTGGCTACATTATTTATTGCTGTCTGTTACATTACCCCAAAGCTTTAAATTAGTACCTATAATCTTACAGTTTCTGTGAGTTGGAAAGCTGGAAGCAGCTTGGCTAAGTTATCTGGGGTCAGGGTCTTTTTATGTAATTGCCATCAAGATGTCGGCAACCTGGGCAGCATTAACCTGAAGGCTTGAATGAGGTAGGAGGTTCCACTGCCAAGATGGCTCACTTACCCAGCTAGCCCATTAATGCTGGTGGTCCATAGGAAGCCTCAGTTCCTTACCACAAGGACCTCTCTGTGGGACTGCTTGAGGGTCCTCACAACAGGGAAGGTCGCATCCCTGAGAGCAAGTGATCGAAGAGAAGCAAGGTGGGAGCTGCAACATCATTCATGACTTGGCCTCAGAAATCACACTCCATCATTCCTACACTACCTTATTAGTTACTCAGCCCAGCCCTGTTCATTTGGAAAAAAGACCACGCAAGGGTGTGAATACCAAGAAATGGGGATCACCTGGATACCTTAGTGGCTGGCTACTGCAGTGGCCATTATAAGTATTAGGGTAAATTTTAGGCTCATATGTTTCATAATGTCATCCCAAATGGGGATTGGAGGAGGCAAGTTGCCCCTTTCTCTTCTCTGCTAAGAGTGGAAAGGTCGTCAGTTTCATATCTGGGAACGAAGGGGAGGGGAAGATGCAAATTAGTAATTGACCCCTCTGATACCCACACAGTTTATGATTTCTTTTTCCATAGCTAGAAACTTTCTTCAGAGCTGGAAACTTTCACCATGGCTGGTGTTCCATCTAGCTATTCTCTCCACATGGTGCACCACTCTTCAAGGCCTCTCCATGTAGCTGGAGCTTCTCACAGCCTGGTGGTCTCAGGGTAGTCACAC